AATCACATGTTTCACAACATAAAAAAGATCAACAATCGATTTTGTCACAAAGTGATAAAACGAGTGTCCATTATGCTGTGTAATTCATAGTCAGCTTAAGCTTTTTTTATTTTTTCTTTCTTTTATTATAAATAGAACTTCATCCATTTTAAAAATTTTGGCAGCACGTAACTTAACTTAATGTTAACATTAGCATTAACGTAAATGATGACATTGACATTGATGTTGACATTGATGTTGACATTGATGTTAACGTTAACTTTAACTTTAAATAGTCTATATACGCAATCATTTTCGTAACACTTAAAATTTCCTTTTTTAAACAAATTCTATAAAAAATGACCGAAAACCTCCTTTTTTAAAGTTGATTAAAGATTTTTTGTTAAAATTGACAATGTTTTCATCTTCTTTATTATTATTAAAAAATCCTTTAAACAACAATTCCCTAAAGCCGCCTATTTCTGTTCTATATATCGCAGTGCCAGATATACTAATGATAGTTGCAGCAACGTTTTAATGAGACAATTAGAAATGAATATTGACGACATAATTTTTTTTAAATATTGGTGTGGTATATATTATAGTATGGATTTTTTTAAATAATTGAATGTTTATGATGAATTTTAACGATAATTGAATATTTTGTTGTAAATAAATATAACGAAGCCATATTTTTATAATATTCTCCTTACTAATAAATTTATGTCAGTTAATAATCTTTATAAATCTTTATTTGATAAGGAATTGGAACTTAAAAAGGCTCATTAATTGTTGGTAATGTAAAATTTGAAAAAATAATTTGCCAAAAAAGATTTATCAAAATAATTTACTAAAAAAAAATATTCATTCAAAAATGAATACATTTTTATCCTTATAAATACAACATTTGTATCAAAAGAATTTATTCAGGGAATGATCATTATCAATAATCAATTTTATTTCTTATTTTTTTATCAAAAAACAGAAGAATTTATATAATTTTAACTTTTCATTAGCATAAATGAAATTTCATCTCATAAAATAAGTTTGTTATTAAATAGACATTAAAATTTATCAATTTATCAATAATTATTTTTACACTAAATCAATATAATTTTAATGGCCACTTGAAATTAAACTTTTAATTATTTACAAATTAATAATAACATGGCAAAGAAAGAAATATTTTTTGCTAAATTAACAAATTTAGTGCGGGATGAATTTTCCCATGGTAATTGGATTATAGTATTTGGAAGACAAAAGGAATTGTCTTTAGTGGAATTATCTAAAAAAGTTAATATTTGGTCATTGAGACAACGGTTGTTAATTAGCAACATATATTTTAGGATAATTGAAAGACAATTATTATTTATTTTGAAAATATAAGGAGCAATTTTTTCACCTTGTTCCTTTTTTAAAATAATTCTAATGGTGCTATAATTCTTGGGTTCCATGATAGACCTAATGTAAATTAACTTCATATAACTATTTTTATATTAATATAGAGGTAATTCTATATACCACTTAATATTAAGAGGATAACAAATGGAAGATTTTAATAATCACATTACTAAATTTTAATCCCTGAAATTCTTGGTAATACTAATGTTCACTTTGTCTGGTTTTGTTGCAGTATGCTCCATATAATTTATTATAAAAACTCATCAACTTTAATTATGGATGACATGCATCATATGTTGTGGTGCTCTATGGCTGTGGATCATCAAACATATAATAAAAAAAAATTTTATAGTTGGCTCGGTCTAAAGACCTCATATTGCAGCGCCGCATGCTCTAATTTCAAAAATTGCAATAAAATTTTTTAAAAAGGGTTTCACGTGATTTTTTTTGAAAAATTTCCTTACTGCCAAATTTAGATATGATGATCAAGTATTGGTCTAAATTTAGTAATGACAATCAAAACTTAGCAACGAACATATAATTAAAGTAAATGTTTTTGAATAGAACTCTACAACAAATAAATTTTTAAAAATTAAAGACATATTCTATCAACTTATAGAGCTATTTTTTTAAAAGGTAGGGAAGAAAATGACTTCTATACTTTTAAAATTTGCCCAAAATTTAGGAGGTCATTAGACCGAGCTAACAACTATAATATTTGTTCAAGTCTTCTATAATAAAGTTACAGAGAGTCTTTTACCCATCTCATTTGATTATAAAGTTTATCTATTAGCAATTTTTTTCAATGACTTTACTATATATGTATAAAAAACAATTTTTTTATTTGGTAGGAAAAAAACCCTCTGTAATCTAAAAGCTTGATCTATTTTAGTTTCACTTATTTGAAAAAAGTTTATTATTGATCGGCGTACTTAATTTTTGAAATAATTACCCCAACCATATATTATTAATATATTCATTTCCATGAAACATAAAAAAATTATTTTGGGAAATTCCGGCTACATAGAAAAAAAATCATGTATTTTTTCGCAGTATCGTGAAAATATCCAATTTTATTGGTGGGTTGGGTGCGTGTTATCCTTATTTAGAAATTGATTTGGCGATTGCGGATATTTTTGCGGAAAAATACATGATTATCATAGAAAATATCACTAAATAATTTATCCAATTATTATTATTATTACTTTAATAATATATCGCATTAAAGTTTGATTCAATGATTAATTATTATAAAGTAGAAGGAAATCATGAGACTTTAATTAGAATTTTTTGTCATTTTTGACTTTTGATGGCAATCAGCAAGTGTATTTCACATGAAAATATTAAAATTTAAATATTTGATATTGTAATAAGTAGCATACTTGTGTAATAACAAAGAGAGGTACAAAAGGTGGATAAACTGTAATTTTAAAGAGAGGACTATTTCCATTCTAATATAATACTGCACAATGATATGAGGTCTAGATCACTCCATGCTATAATACAACTGTCACTTTTCAAAATGAGTAGGACATCTAATACTAATTGTGTCAATGATATCATGCGTATAATGGTATTAAATGTATAATGAATATCATATCAAGACCAAAAAGAATGAAAAAAAAATCGAAAAATCCTCACATATGATGAACAAGCTTTATTGCCATTATTATTATTATTATTATTATTATTATTAAAGTAAAAATGAGAAATTTTTTTTGGAAATATTGAATAAATAAGAAATTAAATTGAGAAAAGATTGCTGCTTTTTTATTCAAGAATAACAAATAAAGAAAATACAATAAAGTAAAATAAAACCAATGTCCGATTATTAAATAAACGTATATATAGATTATATATATGGTATGGATGATGGGGTTTAAAATATTAAAACCATCACTACTATTGTTATAGTTGTTTTTTTAAAAACATGTAACTAAATTTTAAACTAAACTACAGGAAAAAATAAATAAAAAAAAAGTAAAATACAAGAAAGTATATATAATGTTCAATTAAGATGTTTATCAAAATAAATAAGAATCAGCAAAAGATGAAGAATGTTAAGAAGGGGTTATTATATCTGATATAAATTAACGAACTCTGTGTTTTTGTTGAGGTTGTGGTTGTTGTTGATGATGATGCGAATGTGGATGACGATTATGTGAAGATGATGAAATAGAATTTCTATTGGCGTTGTTCGAAGATGTTAAACGTTCAGATGAAGTTCTACGATGCATATGATCTAAATAAGTAGGGTTTAATATGTAAGCACTTTGTCTATTACTGGTATTGTTACTATGGTTATTATGATTATTGTGGTTATTATAGCCATTACCACTTCCATTGATGGGATAATTTACAACATCACCACGTGAAGTAGATCTTTTTGTTGATGGAAATATTTGCATTGAAAGGGGTCTACCATTCGTCATCATGTGACCATTAGTATTTTTGTGTTGTTTGATTTTTCCATTAGTTTTGATATTTCCATTACCATTACTATTGGTTTTGCTATTATTTTTACCATTATTATTATTATTATTATTATTATTATTATTGATGCTATTAACATTGCTAACATTACTATTAATATTTAAGCTAGCACGGCGTAAATTATTCGAAGATGAATTCGAACTTGAAGAATCATCCGTCGTGCTCGAAAGACGAAAATCATCAAAAGCTTGCAAAGTATCTTTAGCCCAATCTGAATCTTGTTTTGGCGATGGAGATGTACGACCAAGTTGCAGATGTGGAAGTTGCAGAAGTTGCAATTGTGGAGGTTGATCCGATGTAGATATATTTCGACTTTTATGTGTGTGTTCACTGTTACTTCGTTTTCTTGACGAATGATATTGTGGTTTTGGTGAACCTAATTATGGTTTTGTTAATCATTTGGTTAATTTAATTAATCATTAAGCTATTTAAATAATGAACAAAATATTTTTCTATGCCTACTTGAATCATCAGTGGTTGAACGTGGTCTAGATATTTTATTATTATCATAACTTGATTGAGGTGAAAGTGAATATCTGTTGTTGTTATTATTATTATTGTTGCTATTACCATAAGCCAAAGGGCTGGAAGCAAAAACGGCATTTGAAGAAAATCTACGAGAAGTAATACCAGGTACGATTGGTTCTGAGCTTGTTAACGGTAATGAAGAAGATGAAGACGATGGTGATTGACTTGATACTAGAAACAGAATAATAATAATAATAATAAAATAGTAATAATAAATAACAAAGCAATTTATTTATTATGTATATATTTATATAAATATATGTCTATGATAATTACTTGAATCAATCCAAGCCTCAATTCTCGCACCATTTTTTACTTGTGTATGAGGATTAGTATTTTGTACTTTAATTTTTGGCTTTGGCTTAGCTTTTAGAGCCAATGGAATATCATCTTCAGAGTCGTAGTCGTCATCGTCGTCATCATCTAATTCTTCTTCATCAGAATCATCAGAATCTTCACCTGAATCTTCTAAAACTTTTTCTAATTTATTACTAGACATTGATGAAGACAATCTTCTAGTAGAGGTTTGTTGGTCTTCGTCTGATGAAGCAGAACTACTACTACTATTACTTTTATTTGAATTTTTTTGTTGTTGTATTGATTTAGATTTGGATTTGGATTTGTTATTACTATCATCACTACTGTAACCACTACTGCTGCTGCTATTTTTACGATTCTTAGGGGTAGTTGATAATTTTGAATTATGGCTTGTTAATGGTGACACATTGTCATCATTATCATGGTTAGCATAAAGAAGATTATCCGTTTTTGTTGACATTAATTTATTATTGTTATTAGATGAAGGTGTCGTTTTAAAGTATGATGAAGAAGGTCTTGGAGATTTTTGAGGTGTAGGTAGAGGAGAAGTAACTATCATTGAGGTTGGTCTTGAAGAAGTAGTAGCAGCAGGAGAATTATTTAGTTTTGAGCCATGAGATTTAGATGGTAAACCTAATCAATCAATCAATCAATCAATCAATCAATGAGGTTAAATAATATTTTATAACAAGATTTTAACACCCTAATTATTAAAACTTACCTTGTTGTAGAATTAAAGAAGTCCTATGACTAGATGAAGCATTAAAATGAATCATATTATTATGTATATTCTGCCTTGTTTCCAGCATTGATTCCCTAACATCCAAAAGTGTTGTAGGCTTGCCAATACTATTATTACGGCTTTCTTGTGTATTTCCAGGTAGGATCATACTAGTTCTTGGACTATAGTTCACAACATTTGATGGAGATGATGAAAGAGACGATGATGCTGATGGTAGTATAAAGGAGGAACGTTTTTGCGAAGAAGAGGGAGATGATGGTTGTGATGGAGGTTGTAAAGGAGATGGTGGTTGTAATGATTGATATTGTGGTTGTATCGGTTGTAACTTTTGTAATTGAGTATGACGCTTGTTTATCTTACCATTACCGTTATTATTTTTTTTATCATCGTTTTTTGCTAGGACAGGAGGAACAATTAGATTTTTTGGTTTGGGTAGATAGTAGACAGATATCTCTTCATCTTCATCAACGTCGTTGTCGACACTATTATTATTACTATAACTACTACGACGGATACTCTGGATACTATTTACTCTAGAGTTCCTTGCGGTTCTTTGCCTTATGAATATAGCACTATTTTCAGGTGGCTCAGCATTAATATTATCAAGATCTTCTTTTAAAGCTCTTGCCAATTGAAGTCTTGAAAGTATAACAGGATCTTGAGTTCCTACACTCATATTTTAATTTTAATTTAAATTTTTTTTAAAAAGAATATGTTAGGAGTGAATTGTGTGAATTTTGTTGTGTGTGGGTATTTTTTTTTTTGTTGTTGGAAAATGTAGAATTATTTTCCAGCCTTTTTTTGGGTGTTATACGGAAAATTTAATTTAATTATTTTCCTCTATATATCGTTATATATGTTTAACGATAAAAAAGTTCATGAACTAAGTATTGTTTAAATTTGGGATTAACTTTTTATTTAGGATTAGCCTCGTTTTAGAAAAAACTATTTGTTTTTTTTTTATTGTTGAGTTATAAATAAATCGTAGTTGGCCGAGTTGCTATTATATTTATTATCAAGTATAAAAATAAGTTCATGTGCGAAGTTGAATGGTATGATTTTTATTATTATTACGATATAGACGCGCGCGTGTGCGTGCGTGCATACAATTATTATCAGTATTATCAATTATTATTAAAAAAGTTAGGAGTGTGAGTGTGAGTGTGAGTGAGTATAAGAGGAGGAGAGAGGATATTATTTTGTTTTATTTATAGAATTATTTATTTTTACTGCAAGGGGAGAGAAGATATCTTTGTATAAATAAACAAGGAAGGATTTAAAGATGATGGTGATGATGGGAAAGAAAAGAATAAGCAAAATAAGTGAGAAAAAAAATATATTTAATATTTTTTTCGCAAAAATTTGGTTTAATATTGATGATAAAAATAAAAATATGTGGATAAAAATAAAAAAGAGGATGTGGAGAGATGTAAATAAATAAATAAATGTTTATTTTTAATTACTAATATTAATTAAAATTTTGTGTTGTGTCTTATATAATATAGTTTATCTCGAACTAGTTTTTTTTGTGTAAGCCAGTGGGCAATTTCATCATTAACCAACTTGTTATCAGCTTGTAATATGTGATTGTGTAATTATGAGTGGGCACTTTTTATATGATTAATGCAAGAATTTCAGAAATAATCAGCAACAGTTTTTTAACATCAACTAATAAACAAGGGCCTATCTACTTATCTATTATCAATCAGCATATCCGAGTATAAATAGTAATAATGAATTTTCAAGAGCTAAAGCCAGAAAGCATCAAGACTATGACGGGATTTTTTTTTTAGTTATTATTATGAATGAATTGAATGAAAATCAACAAAAAAGTTTTATGCTGTGTATCAAAAGGTTTATTATTAGTAGAATGTTTGTTGAAAAAAAACTATTTTCTATTTCTATTTTTACATAAACAATGTAATATTCTATATTTAGTAGTGATTTTATATATATATATATAAAAAAAAATGCATTTAATTAATTAAATATTTATTTATTTATATTAAATTTTAAAAATTTCTTTGAAAAATAAATTAAATTTAAATTTGTCTTTAATCTTTTCTTTCTTTTCAAATCGAAACACAACGCGGGTTAAATGAATTTCGTGCTGAGTGTAACATTATGTTTGAGCTTTGGTTTTTTTTTAAATATTGCCGAATCTTATTTTCACTCATACAAATGTTTAATTACGTGCGTGATTAAAGTTAAACGATCATGTATAATAAAAAACCATTTTAATTTTATTCTCTGTATTTATTAGTTAATATTAATGGAAAAAACTTACTGACAATGATAGTAATAACAAAATGATAGAGGGAGCAACTTTCCTTTTTTTTGTGTAATAAATCGTCTAAATAACAGATAAGGCAGGAACAAAGCAAGTATCCTGCCGCAACAACAACACAACAAAAACAAAAAAAAAACAACAACAACAACAACGGCAATCAATTATCATAGAGACTGAAAACGTTTTTGTAGATGATTCGTAAAATACAATAAACAACTGTAAAAAAAATCACAATTATTGTATTTTTTTTCGCTTTTAATGGAAATAATTCAATGACAACTACCCTTTGAAGGTTTGTCTTGGCTGCTAAGATCGTTCGTTATACGGAACACATATGTATGTATTGGTATAGCCTATTCATGTATGTATTTATTACTAAAATTTTTCTTTTTTGATTTTTACATATTGATATTCCGTGTAACTTTACATTGTTGCATAACCAATAACCAACCAGCCTCCAAGTATTTTAATTGAAATATTTAAATATGTTGAAAACGATCATAAAACATTATATTCTTGCATTCTAGTCAACAAACAATGACACAATATCAGTACTCTTTTAACAGCGTTAAAATATTAATAAATTTGCTTATTAATGGAAGACAGGCGCAAAATGCCAATTGAAATTTACCAGAAAATTTCCGGAAGCAATAAATTTTACTATTACTATTATCAGTCATGAAAAAAAAAACGGAAATGGTGGTGTAACGTAATAAAATATTTTTTTTTAATGATTATAAAATGTAAAAATGAGTTTATTTGAGTATGGATTTAGAAGTAGCTCAAGAGGCTCAAGGCATGTTCTATAAATATCAATTCTTCCAATGCTTCCTTTCTTTGTATAAAGTAAAAAATCAATTATTTTGATATTTCAATTTATTAAATCCAGAAGAAAATTCCAATAATAATACTTTTGATGCTGAACTTGCTGAATTGAATTATGAATATGAATATGAAAATGAAAATCAATTGAATAAAAAAATAAAAATCAATAGTTTCAAACAAAAATGGTTATCTGAATATAAATGGCTTCATTATGACCATATCCATAAATGAATGGTTTGTACAATTTGTATTCAACATAAAAGAAAAAATCAATTTGCCCAAGAAGGTTTGTAATAGAATTATTTCTAATATTTAATATATAGTATTATTAAAATTTTGACATTCGATTAGGTTCAAAAAATATAAATAGAAAATCAGCAATAAAATGTCACAAGGATTCACAAGATCACAAAAGAAGCAGAAAATTAGAAATTTCCAACTTGCAACAGAAAGATTAGTAGAACAATTAAATGACAAATTTATTAATAAAAGTGATATACATATTATAAGCATTGCACAAAATCATATTCATATGAAAAAATTACCATCTTTAGTTCAGCTTGCAAAGAATTGCATACACCAGATATTTCTGATAAACATTCTCATACAGTAATGAAATTACTAGTAATGACATGTTAGCTGCTTTATCAGAAAAAATATGGGATGAATTGTCAGAAATAGGAGTTATAATAGATGAATCCATTGATATAACTACTACAAAACTTAATCAAGTCAAAATTGCATAATTCTCTTAGCACAAAACATATCCTTAGATGTGTGTGTATATTTTTTAAATTTTTAAAATGGTTGGTTTCACAATAAAATAATTTTCTATTACCGGAAAAGTGAACATTTGTATTACCAAAAATTTCAGGGATTAAAATTTAGTCATCATGACCCCATTTGTTATCTCCCCTCCCAAGTATATTAATATAGTAATAGAACTACACTCACCTCCCAAAAGTCATGGACCAACCCGAAAAAAAATTTTTTTTATTAATATTTTGTAAAGCCACCATTATTACTATTAATACATTCTTGTATTCTCCTAGACATACACTCACTGGTCATAAATATAAGGACACTTGCAGATCACTGGAAATAATTGAACAAAGAAACATGAAAAAAAATAAAAATTTTATTAACCTAATTGCATTTGCTTATTAAGTAAAAATTCATCGCCATATCAAATAGTATAGCATACTGAAGTTTCGCTGCATATAAACAACAACTCGTTGTTTTACAAACTTTAAAAAATAAAAATGAATTTTTTGGAATTTTCAAAAAAATCTTTAACTCGAAAATTGACCACAATGTCAAGTTCTAACGACCTTTGCGATATAAGTGAAAAATGCGTCTTATGTTTGAATCTAGTTATATCCAAAATTTTAGATCATTTAGTAAAATAATTGCCAAGATGTCATACAAAATACTCAACCAAGTTAATTTTTGAAGATCTTGCAGAAAATTTACTACCTTATATTAATGAATTAAGAGAGGCGGTGATGGTGATGATGGTGGTGGTGATGGTGGTGATGGTGGTCATGGTTATGGTCATAGTCGTGTGTTTATTTTTCAAGAAGATAATGCACCATGTCATAAAGCAGCTGTGGCAAATCAATGGAAAGAGGAAAATCGTGTTATACTTCTCCCTTGGCCTGCTCAAAGTCCAGACCTCAATCCTATTGAAAATTTATGGCAGGATTTAAAAAGAAGACTTAGAATGAG